ATATATATATATTCAAAGGATTTTTTAAAAATAAATCCACATCCACAAACTGGTTAGGCAGATAATCTGTGCAACACCAGGCCTTCTTTTCATTAGGCCTTAATCAGTCTGTCCTCTGCAGGTACATGGCTCCAGAGATCCTGGATGAGTCAATTAATTTGAACAACTTTGAGTCGTTCAAGAGGGCAGATATCTATTCACTGGGCCTGGTGTTCTGGGAACTGGCCAGAAGATGCTCTGTGAGAGGTACTTTGTAACACAACTCTAAACACACATCCACCTCCATTTGTTGATGACTAAGCAGCTCAAATTGTAGACAAAGAGAGAGAAAACACAGGCTCATGTTTCTCACTGTGTTGTTCATAGAAGAGATAAAAAAAGAGCAAGAAAAAAAAATCCTTTCTGTCGTTCTCCCAGGACTTCATGAAGACTTTCAGCTGCCTTATTATGACATGGTGCCTTCAGATCCATCCATCGAGGACATGAAAAAGGTGGTGTGCGATCAGAAGCTTAGACCCAGCATTCCCAACCAGTGGCAGAGCTGCGAGGTGAGACTGAAACACGTGTTGCTGATCATCATTCCGCTACATTAAGAAACATTTTGTTCCTAAAAACAGATTTGTTCTTAAGTTGTGCACGTACGAGTGATTTAGGAGAACTTGTGGCATTCACCAATTTTCTCATATTGTAAGATTTTTTTTCAGACACAAACAAAATTCCTGTGTGGTCCAGACCTGTAGTATATTTTAAATGCAGCCAGTCAATTTGTAGTTGAAAATAAATCACACTCCATAATTATGTTGACAATAGGCTATTCTGTTTGAATTATAGCTACAATTTTAAATGTAATAATGTAGACTAAGGATATAAACTGATTAAATTAAATTGGCTATTCATGCTGTTATATAACACTACAATAATATGAAGATCTCAAACTATAAACCAACTGAAATTACATATTATTTAAAATTTAATTAGTCTCGGTATGTAATGGGTTCAATAGGAAGTGAAAATAATAACAACTTTATTCAGACATACAGTATATTAGGTTATTTTTTAATCAAATTTTATTTTGTTGAAATTTATTCAGCACATCGCTATGCTCTTTTCTTTTYTTGCCTATAAAATGGCTTGTTTTCTCGACATTTAGCATAAAAATGACATAAAGAATATAATTGTTAGCGAATAGACGTTCCAGAAAAGTGAACATGTTCTTTATAGTTTCGGTTCTGGAATATGGTTGAACAAATGGTAATAAAAAACAAAACTAAAAGCAGAAGTGAAAGCAAGACGGTTTTACTACAAATACATTGGCAGTTCCAGTCAACCTTCTGTCACCAGTGGTACAATACCACTGACATAAACGTCAAGAAACACTTTTGAGCTATTGGAATAAACTTGACAAAACATTAAAAACAGACAATTAAAGATGTTTTTAATACAAGGTTTTGATTTATTTTTTCATGTCTTACGGAGTTTGACCTGGGATACAAAAGTGAGTGAGCAGAGGAATAATCTCCTTTCCCCTGACCTCTAGCTTGTACTTGTTCATATATTTTAAGGAGATAAAAGGCAAAAAGTTTAACCAGTAACAAAAACTTAAATCACCTCATCCTTTATTCTGTTGATTATTTTTTAGCTTCACTTTCTCTTCTTTTTTAATTGTTTGATTGGTGATGTCTTATCTTTTACAAATATCATTCACTACCTTTTTGTTTTAATGTAAAAAAAATTAAATGATAGGTTGCACAAAAGGATGAGAAATCGATCTAAAATGCAACAAACCCTTGCATTTGAATATAGGAGGATTTAAGGACCAAATTATTGTACTATAAACTACAGTTTGGTGCTAGCAACAGCAAATTAATTGATTAAGAAGTGAGGTCTCAACATATTCATTATGTGAAACAAATTGATCTGAGGAAGTCTTGGTCTGTAGGAGGCCAAACCCAGATAAGTGTCATGTTTTTAAMCATCAGACGAATTAAAGATGACAAACTTTCATGCCATCATAACCAATATGAGCTCAGAATAACTTTGAAAAACCACAGCATCCAGAAATATAAAATGCATTTCACAAAGAGGAAGTCATTCATCAACTCTGCCATCAAGTATTCTGGGTACAAACTAACCTCAGCAAGATATGAGACCTGGTCTTTGCTCAGACGAATTCTCCTTTCAGCTTGCTTTGATAAAAAAAGAAAAATAACCACAAACTTCTGAGCAACTGAAATATATTACTCAGCAAGAATAGACTCAAATCTTCTGTAAAAATGTAATAATCAGCATCAACAATGTCTAAATAGACTTTTAAGATTTTATATTAATAGTGCTGTCAGCATTAAATTCTAGATTTGTTTACAATACTCAATGCAATTGAACAGCTCATTAAGGATACTTAAAATATTATGTATATTTTACTGTTTGTTCAAACAATTGAATACAAATTTAGTTTTGAAATTTAACCATTTAATGTTTCTGTAAATGTGTTTCTGTGTTTGAAATGTTATTTCAGCCATCGTGATAATGATATTTTGTTGTTGCGTCAGGCTCTGCGTGTGATGGGGAAACTGATGAGAGAGTGTTGGTACGCCAACTCTGCAGCGCGACTCACTGCCCTGCGAGTCAAGAAAACTGTGTCTCAGCTCTCGGAAACCAAGGACGTCAAAGATTAGTTTTATGAATTGTTTTAGAGATCTGCACTGGTGCTGGCACTGGTGAGGGGTGAGGAATTTGAAGGCCTGAAGCTGGACCCAACCACATCCTCACAGAGCCTAATTAGGTGGGTTTTGGTGCCAAAGCGCTGAGGGAAACCAGTGGAGATATTTACACAGAGACATTCAGGATACTGACTTTTTTTTTTTTATCCAAACAGCAAAAAAGTTTGGTAAACATGTGACATAAGTCATGTTAAATGTGATCATTTTGCTACCTCAGTATTTGAAGTGCCCAAAGCTTGAAGTTGCACATTGTTGTGTTTTTGTGCCGTATATTGTGATTGCAGCGCTGCTGGGTAGTTACAAGTAAAAAAAMAAAAAAAAAAAAAAAAAAAAAAAAAAAAAAAAAAAAAAAAACTAATTTTGACACATACACAGAGTTTCCTCAGTAATCTGAAATACTTGGCACAGTTTAGAACAATTAACCCAGAAAACAGGGTCTGCAGCGCCCCTTGTGGTGGCTGAATAATACTACAATGTAACTCAACAGGAATTTAAAGCAAGCAGTGCAGAGAACATATTTTTTCATAAATAAAGATGGTAACAAAACATTGCTAGCTAATCTGTAATAGACAAAAACACAAATGCAACCCCAGTTTTAAAAACGATGGGATGTTTGTGTATAAAGTCAATAAAAACAGAATGCAATGGATTGCCATATTTTTATTATCAATGGAGCGAAGTAAAATTGTCAAATGAAAAAAAATATACATTTTCTCTGAGCAGTCTGCAGTGTTTTAGGATGACATTCACAAATAGATTCTTCTTTGCATGATAGAGCTTTAACCAAAGTTTGTGGCTGCAGCAGCAAGCTGTGTTTACAGACAATATTTGTGGAAGAGTTCCAACCATAAAATTTACAGTTACCCGTTTCTTCCCCTAAAGTTTCTTAGTTTAAAATTTGGGTTTATGAGATTTGCAAATCATTGCATTGATTCTGTTTTTGTTATAATTTTTGAAACACCCCAGTGTTTTTGCCATCGGGGTTGTAAAAACAACGCAGCGGAAACCAAAACTTTATTGTTGTTCCTGTTTGTGTACAAGCGTCATTTGCATTGTAGCTACAGCATGTTAGATATGTAGCTGTTTAAAACTCCCACGAGTCATTGCCTCAAAAGTAAGGTAATGACTTGAGGGACTGTTTATGATCTCTTTATAAATTGCTGCCACTAAGCAATCAATTAGGCAGAGACATATATAACTGAGTGTTAAGTTTCAGTATTGGTGGTGCTGGTACAGTAACTAATTATCACTGTGATAAAAGGACCTTCTGGCGGTGAGTGATATATTACCAGTGTTCACCACATGAGTAAAGTGCTACATTTAACATGATTGGAAACAGAAGCAGATTAATGGAAGTTTAGTTTTTAGTGACAAATTGGTCATCCTCCGTGCCTGGCTGGAAGAGAAAACTGAACTTGAAGCCTTTTATATTCAGTCAACTGTAAAATAAATCTCAACATTTATTGTTGGTCATTCGGCGTAGGTCTGTAGATGAAAATTACAGTGAGTCCATCGACCTATTCTCTGTGTAGGTTCAGTTCATTTCTTAAATATTACATCACTAGCAAAGTTGTTGGACAGACAATCATATCAAAGAGCTTGTCATCCAGTGCCACCAGCTTTTCCATAACGAGCCAAAGGTGTTTGTCATAAAATAAACTAATGAAAGCTCAGCTATGAGAAGGTTTTTGGTTATAAATGATATAAAAACATATTTTTAACTCACAATATTTTCACCCATTTTCTGACACACACTTCAAGCTAGAGCTTATATTTTTAAATCGTTTGATGCAAAAACGTGTCTATTTTCACTGCTTTATGAGGAAGGTTGACTAAAGTGTTGGATTTTTACGCTTTAACAATTGTTATACGAATGTAGAATCTGTGGCCATATATTTTAAATATTCAAAAACTGGTCTATTATAGTTTTAAAATATGTGTAAACAAAAACTCACAAAYTGACTGTGAATGTGATACTAACATCTACTCAAAAGGCTTTAATTGTTTTTAAAGGGAAAAGCAGCAGGTTTTGTATAGCTCCAAATGACAAATCAAGATATATTTATACAGATGTAAATAAAAATATGAGGTTACTGTAAAACAAATGCTGTGATACAACTAATACATCCATTAAGGTTGCATATTAAAAGTATTATTGCAACACTTTGAGTTGCTTGTAAAGCCTTGGTGCAACAGACAGTAGGAAGGTACAAATATGTTTATCTGTATACCATTTGTGCTTGTTCAAACTAAATATGTAAGAGTGCCTGCCTGTGCATCTGTTTGTGTTTTATATATATCATATGAGAAAGTCGTTAAAACTGTGCTGCTTGAGATTATTAAACACACATACTATAGATGTGTCATTCATCTAAATCGTTGCATCCTGTTTGGGATTTTAATAGCAGTTGATATTCGGTGCTTGGTGTCACTACAGACATGTTACGATAGGAAATGATTTTTGTTTTAGATGAAAGTTATGAATGAGCAGCAATGTCACTTCTGCTTGCTCACTCTCTGAAGTATACTGGCTCTACTTTGCATGCAACAGTTAAAATGTTTCCTGTTTTGCAATTATTCAGCAAATATTGTGAGCATTTTATAGTTGAACTCAAACTTTAGTATAACTAACATGATTTGGTTTGATTTTGAAAAGCTTAAAAGGGGACATGTCATGCAAAATCCACCTTTTAAGCCGTGACATGCATTTTGTTGTGGAGTCTCTAGCAGGGGCGGTTTTAGGGGCGGGGCCACAGGGACATTGGCCCCAGCTGAAATTTGATTGGCCCCCTGAAGTGCTCCTGTCCTGTCACTCATCTGTCCTTTACCTGGGGTGATGATGGTGGATGCAGTTCCTTGTTCAAACACTAGTTGTGCTAATGAGTCAAATAGTAAAGTCCAGAATGAATCAAGCTTTCAAAATTCTTCTCTTAAAATGTGAACAATCCTGCAAAAAAGTCTGTCAACTGACAAATGATGGCTGGATTTTCTCACATGTTGAGTGTTTGAAAATATTTTATCTATGTACAGTAAAATGTATGAAATACTGGTGAGGAGAATTTACTGTGCAAGATTTTTGGTACCACTTTACAATCAAGCTCCACTTATAGATGGCTTATAAAGGGTTTATAAATAGGTTATTAATTAATTTGTAACGTTTACACTTCATAACTCATTAATAAACGAAACTAGACAATTTTGTCTCTTTCTTGTCCTTAATAATTGCATAATAAACACTTATTAATCATTTTTAAAGTGTTTACAGATTAATTAATAACCTATCTTTAAACTCTTTAAAAGCCATCTATAAAGGGGGCCTGCCTTATTGTTAAGTGGTACCTTTTTAACAAAAAATACATTACATTACAAGTGTTTGAAGTGTAAAATGTACACACTGGGAATTTGTGTGAAAGGATGTTGAACAAAGACTTGGCACCTCAATGAATAATGTGGCCCCTTGATGGCCACTTACTTAGAAAAATCCTAGATACGCCACTGGTGTCTAGGTGTGCAGAAAAGTAGAATTTAGTCTCACCCGATGCTGCGTAGATAACCTGAGTCCGACTCTAGCTCCAACATGTGAGGGTGGATGGACAAGTCTGTTGTTGACATATTTTCATAAATTTGTATACATATATATATATATATATATATATA